AATGATTTAATCAATCGTGCCTGTGTAATGGAACCTCCATAAAAGCCCTAAACAATGGGGTCTGGAGAGCTTCCAAGTTAGTGAGCACATCAAGGTGCTGGAGGGGGCGGAACACACCTAGAGAGGGCTTGGAAGCTCCATGCCTGCCCACCGCCCCCCCGATACCTCACACTATACATCTCTTCCATTTGGCTGTTCCTGAGTTATAGCCTTTCATAAGAAACCAGTAGTCTAGTAAGGAAAATGTTTTCCTGGGTTCTGTGAGTCATTCTAGCAAATGATCAAACCCAAGGAGGGGTTGTGGGAACCCCTGATTCATTGTCTGTTGAAGTATGGGAGGCCCAGGACCTGTGATTGGTGCCTGGAGTGGAGAAGTCTCGTGGGACAGTGCCCCTAACCTGTGAGTGCACTAACTGTGGGTGATTAGCACCAGAATTGGACTGAATTGTAGGACACCCAGATGGTGTCTAGGGAGTTGGAGAATTGGTCGTTGGTGTGGGAAAAACGTGTACATCTTGAGTGTCCAAGTGTTTGGAGTGAAAAACAGAGTGTGTGTGACAGGTGGTTGGGGAAAGCCTTCCACAACAGTGACATTTGGGCTGAGAGAACAGCTGTGCAAAAAATCCAGGCACTGTGTCCCGAGCTGGATGGAACAGCAAGTATGGTGGCACTGAGGAAGCCATAAGCTGGATGTGCTGGAGGGACAGAAAGAAGCCAGATGAGGCCACAGGGTAGCACAGAGTAGGAAGAGGATGGAGGGCTGCAATGGCTAGATCACAGGGGTCTTAGTATCAGTCGCTGTCCAGGCACGCTCTGGAGAATTTGGTAAAGGGACTGGTTACAGAGGTCTGGGTAGGGCTGAAGGGTATTAACACAAAGTGACAAACACCCTGGGATCAGCAGCCGTAGCACCCTGGTGGTCACCCCCTAATCCTGATGGGGCCAGGGAGGAACAGTTAGGGGAACCCAGGCATTATTGTACCTACAGGAGGCCACCTGCAGCTTCCATCAGAGGGACCTGGCCCCTGCCAACCCCCGGGCCAAGCAGAGAGGAAGCTGGGGGGTCATGCCCTCACCTCTCTCTCCCCCTGCCCCCTGATCTGCTGGCACCCGCTATTGGCTGAACCCTCCAGAAGCCAGAGAGCAAAGGCGATGTAGTGCCTTCAGGTCTGCCTCTGGGGCACCAAACAGGTAGACAGGGATGGAGAGTGATCTGGAGGATGGACAGGGAATACCCAGCACAGCAGTGGAAGCAGTGGCAGCGGAGTGCATGTTTTTCTGAGTTCAGTGAGAAGCCACCAGGGGTGGAAGCTGGGGAGTGACCTGACTTGGAAGCCCACCGGCTTCTCTGGCTGTTCTCTGGAGAGTGGGTACGGTGGGGAGGGGCAGGGCAGGGCAGGGCAGGGCAGGGCAGGGAGAGCACTTTGAAGGCTGTTCTCGTTGTCCGGGTGGTGAGGACAGTAGCTGGGACCAGGGAGGGTGCAGGGAGGGTGGACAGAAGAGCTTGGGCTCAGGGTTATACCCTGACCTGAAGTGGACAGGAGTTGCTGGCAGAGGACGGGTGGAGGGGTAAGGCCTCGTGAGGAAGGAGCTCGAGGAAGAGAATCATGGGCGACTTAAAGATCGGGAAGTGCACAGCTATGTGTGACACCCTCTGGATGCATCCCCTTTGCCCATCCTCACCACTTCATAGGAAAAGGAGACTTGAATGACATCCTTGGATGACAGGGCAACTCTGTGTGGCAGGTGTTTTTATAGCAAGTGACGCATTCGCACATCAGAGAAGTTAAGACATCTGCCCAAGATCACACAGCAGGTAGGTGCAAATGGAGATTTGGACCTGGGTCTGATTCATGAATACCCTGAGCAGAAGGACTTTGATGGGGTCTCTTGCCTTACATGGTAGCCACAAGCTGGGGCTTGTGCTGCCCAGTGAGATCTGTCCTTGAGACAGGCTGCAAGCATATCACCAACGTGGCCATCCGTGGCATGCAGGAATTTGGGTAGAGCCCAGCAGAAGTTATTTGGGTTGTTTTGACTATTATTATTACAGAATTGGGGAACAGGGAAGGAAACTAACATTTATAAAGCTCCTTCATTCATTTCTTCATCTTTTAATTAAAAAAAAAATCCATTCCTGAATCCCAGGCTTTGTGCAGGACAGGTTACTTGGATTATCTCCTTTTATTTCCAAAATAAATATCCCAGCCAAGGTGAGCATCCTGCTTCACTCCTGTTTGCAGGCCTCAGGAAATAGGGGCGCAGCCAGGGGAGTGACTTGTTCAAGGTAACACGTCCACCTCTTCTTCCTTCCCTAATGCACTGACTCTGAGGCCAGCTGGGTGTCGGTCGGACTGCAGGGTGCAGTTGTTAGAAGCGTGGAGCTGAAATCAGGGCGTCTTTGTTCAAGTCTTGGCTCTCCTCCAAGAGAGGTATGACCTTGGTTTCCATATCTGTGAAATGGAGGTAGTAATAGCATCTCTCTGAAAGGCTCTTGCATGGATTGACGGAGATGAGGTATGCAATGGAACAGAACAGGGTTCCGGGCACCTTGACCATCACTGTGATTTCTGTTCCAAAACCAGTGTCGAGTGCAAAGCCCTGGCCGGAGACTCCCCAGCCCTCTCTGAGCTCCCTTAGTCAGCAAGTACCAGAGCTGTCACACCTGGCTGGGGTGACAGGTGCAGACGTAGGCAATAGATCTGCTGGTAAAGGTGAGTTAAAGAAGAGCAGTGACAACAAGTCCCTTATTCCACCCCGGAAATGAGTCACCTTGTTTCCATTTCATTTATTACAGCACTTCCAAGCATCCAGAATCATCTTGCATTCCCTGGTCGGCGGGTTTGTTGCCTGCCTTCATCACTAAGTAACTGTCAGCCACTGTCCCCTCGCTGTCCAGCGCTGTGCCTGGCATCTGCAGACACTCTGTAAATTGTCAACTGATCTCAGGAATGGGTGGTGGGGTGAAATGAAACCCCACGTGTCCCTGCCATGCCTCTGGACATGGAGGAGGGAGGTAGGAGACGGGTGGGGAGGGATTGTGTGGGCTCAGGCCAGCCCCCTGATGCCCGGGCACAGTGCCCTGCGCACAGCCTGTGTCATCAGGACCGCTGATTGGGACTGCACCCTTTTGGGTCATTTGGGGACACTGGATCCCAATACTCCACCAGCTCTGAGGTTCTATGAGCCCCCCGAGTTCTGGGGAGGATTTCAGGTGTGAGGGTGGGATAAGGGTGTGGGCGGCACAGCATACACAAGTGGCCTCGGATAAGCCTCTCGGGGCCTCGGTGTCCTTATTTGCAGGATGGGAGCGGTCACAGCAGCCACTTGCAGCGGAGCCCTGTAGACAGTGAGCTCCGGATGGACCTTCATGGCTTTAACACCCGGGCATGGGCACGTCCTGGCTGTGTGTCGTCTGCTCCTCTGGGCTTCTGTTTCCTAACTGCCAGGTGGGGATAAATATTACCCACGTCGTGGCTTCCCGGGTGCCTGGCAAAGGGCAAGCCCTGTCAGTATTACCCATGTCCTTTCAAGGGGCCAGGCCCCAGCGCCCCCGGCCTTCCCACCGCCAGGCCAGGCGCTGCTGCTCCACGGGACCCCTTTCCCCGCGGTGCCTCCGCCTCGACTCTCCAAGGTCTACCAGCGGCCGCTGGGCTGCAGCAAAGAGCTTCCCTCCATACTCTGAAAAACAGGGAAAAACCTTCTCTGGATTGTTGCCCGCGGCAGACAGTTTAAATTAACTTAAACCATTTCCTGCTCCCACCCCCATCTCGTTATCCTTTTTTTCACGGAGGCGAGAGAGAGAAAACCTTTGCGGGAGAAGCCACGGGAGACGCTCCTCGCGCTCTTCCCTCCAGCGGATGCCAGGGCCGGGGATGCTAAAGTTTGCAGCCGGCGCGCCGCGGCGGAGCGCGGGCCCTGGAGCGGGGCCGGTTGCTTGGGAACGCGGGGGCGGGGCGGGGCGGGGGCGGGGCCGGGCCCCGGGGACCGTGCTGCAGTGCGCCGCGCCGCCGCCAGGGTGCAGCAAGGCCCCGCGGATGCCGGGCGCCCGCTCCCGTCGCGGCTGCCGATGCCGAGCACGTCCCGGCCCGGCGGGCGGGCGGCGGCCAGAGCGGCGGCGGCAGGGGCTGGAGGGCGGCGGCCCGAGACCCGCTTCCCGCCCACCCTCAGCTCGGGCGGCTCTGGTCCCCGGGGAACAGAGCTCGCCCAGGGCCGCAGCTCGCGGCCCCTTCGTCCCCGTTCGTCTCTCCCTCATTCATTGACTCATTCTCTCTCCCTTCATTCCTTCAACCCCTTCCCACCCTACTATTCCGCGCGCTCTCTCTCCCTGACTTCTTTTCTTCCCTTCCTCCCTTCTTCCTTCCTTCTTTCCACCTGCCCACCCACCACCCATCTATTCTTCTGTTCATCCATCCATCCATCCGTCCACCCACTCATCTACCCATCCATCCACCCATCCATCCACTTTTCCATCCACTCATCCATCCACTCATCTATCCATCCATCCATCCATCCATCCACCCACCACCCACTCATCCATCCATCCACCCACCCACTCATCCATCCATCCACGCACCCATCCATCCACTCATCTATCTGCTCATTCATCCATCCATCCACCTACTCATCCATCCATCTATACATACATAACATCCACCGATCCATCCACTTTTCCATCCACTCATCTATCCACTCATCCATCCATCCATCCACCCACTCATCTATCCATTCATTCGTCCATCCACCCACCACCCACTCATCCATCCATCCACCCACCCACTCATCCATCCATCCACCCACCCACTCATCCATCCATCCACCCACCCATCCATCCACTCATCTATCTGCTCTTTCATCCATCCATCCACCTACTCATCCATCCATCCATCCATCTACCCACCCACCCACTCATCCATCCATCCATCCATCCACCCACCCATCCATCCACTCATCTATCCATTCATTCGTCCATCCACCCACCACCCACTCATCCATCCATCCACCCACCCACTCATCCATCCATCCACCCACCCACTCATCCATCCATCCACCCACCCACTCATCCATCCATCCACCCACCCACTCATCCATCCATCCATCCATCCATCCATCCATCCATCCACCCACCCATCCATCCACTCATCTATCTGCTCTTTCATCCATCCATCCACCTACTCATCCATCCATCCATCCATCTACCCACCCACCCACTCATCCATCCATCCATCCATCCATCCACCCACCCATCCATCCACTCATCTATCCATTCATTCATCCATCCATCCATCCACCCACCACCCACTCATCCATCCATCCACCCACCCACTCATCCATCCATCCACCCACCCATCCATCCACTCATCTATCTGCTCATTCATCCATCCATCCACCTACGCATCCATCCATCCATCCATCCATCCATACATACATACATCCACCGATCCATCCACTTTTCCATCCACTCATCTATCCCCTCATCCATCCATCCATCCATCCATCCATCCATCCACTCATCTATCTGCTCATTCATCCGTCCATCCACCTACTCATCCATCCATCCATCCACCCACTCATCCATCCATCCATCCATCCATCCACCCATCCATCTCTCCAAATTCTTCCCTCTCTCCCTGTCTTCTTTCTGGATTCTGGAGTAGGACTAACTGCAGACTCTACCACCAAACAACTTTTTCTGGGCAAGTTGATAACTTTTCTGTCTCGCCCCTCCTGCATCTGGGCAGTGGGGACGCCAGGGCCAGCTTCACTCACAGGGCCACTGTGAGGATGTAGTGACCATCCACAGAGGAATCTTGTGCGAAGCCTGGCACCCAGCGAGCACCCCATGTGGGGAGCAGCACCATGCTCTGCTTCTCTGCTCCTGCTGTGCCCTAGACACACCTGGGGGAGCTTTTATTTTATTTTTTATTTTTAAAAAGATTTTATTTACTTATTTGAAGAGAGAGAGAGAGAGAGAGAGAGAGAGAGAGAGAACAAGCAGGGGAACAGTAGAGGGAGAGGGAGAAGCAGGCTCTCTGCTGAGCAAGGGACCAGATGTGGGGCTAAATCCCAGGACTGTGGGATCATGACCTGAGACAAAGACAGATGCTTAACCAACTAAGCCACCCAGGTGTTCCCTGAGGGATCTTTTAAAACACAGCCAAGAAGGCTGGCTAGTCTGGGGAGGATCCAACTCCTGGTCTCAGGGTTGTGAGTTTGAGCCCCACATTGGTTGTAGAGATTACTTACAAAAATAAATAAATAAATAAATAAACATTTAAAACAGTGCTGATTCCTGGGCCTCCGCACAAACTCTGGTGGAGCCCGGACACAGGTACATTCTACAAGCTCTGTAGGTGATTATAACAGGTAGCTGAGTGGAGACCTGCTGGGAAGACTGTTTGATGGATGCCAATTAGTGACAGGCTCTGTGCCAGGGGAACGGGGGGTGGGGTTGGGGAGTGGGGGCTTAACTACCTTCCTCCTTCACCTGTCTCCCCTCTTCCTGCTTCCTGGTTCCCAAGAACTCCGGCCTCTCGACAGCACTGCTCTCCACTCAAGGAACCAAGCACAAGCATGCCTGCAGACCTTGCACACACTTGCACACACAGTCCCCCTGCCTGGAAGATGCCTTACTTCCTGGGCAGGTGCCCCTTCCCTGGGCAGTCTTCACTGGCCACATTTTCCAGGCAGGCCACATCCCTTCCTCTGCATCCCCAAATCTGCTATGGCAGTGACCTGTTTTCCTGTCTGCTCTCTCATGTGTGGGAGCTCCTCTGGGGCAAAGCCTGGATTTGATTCTTTTGAGTGTCCCAAGCTTCGCCTAGAGTAGGCCCTGATATAGTCACTGATGTTTCTGTTGTTAGGGATTGTTTTGTTGTTGTTGTTTTTAAAGATTTTGTTTATTCGAGAGAGAGAGACAGCATGAGGGATGGGGAGGGGCAGAGGCAGAGGGAGAAGCAGACTCTCCACTGAGCAGGGAGCCTGATGGAGCACTCGATCCCAGGACCCTGGGATCATGACCTGAGCCAAAGGCGGATGCTTAACCGGCTGAGCCACCCAGGTGCCCTAGGACTTGGTTATGATAAAACCAGCTGCCATAGTCACCAGGAAATCCAATCCCCCAACCTCCTACTTCCCCAGGATCAGCTGTCCAGTGACTCTTCTGGGAAAGACCACTTCCTAGGTGTGGCATCTCCTCTCCTGAGAGGGGAAATAGTAAGGTGCATGGGCCCAAGAACACCTATTCAAGGGGAAAATGTGCTACTTCCAGCCTCTCACTGACCCAACATGTAGACAGAGCCTGTAAGCTTGCCAAAGCTCCTCCACCAACAACACGTTGACACGTTTTGTTTGGTGCACATAGAGTTAATTTTCTTCCTAAGAAATATCTGTCAACATTAAAAAGCTGGCAGATTTCACACAAAAAATGGGGATTTTCACCTTGTCTTGAAAAACAACATGCCAACCCCCCAACTTCACCCCCCTCCCCCAACCTGTGTACCTGGCACCAGTGGGCCAGAATGAGAGTGAGGAGCTGTGCTATGACTCTTTATTTTATGGATGAGGAAGCTAAGGCCCAGAGAGGGCTGCACACTTGGCAAGGATCACACAGCAAGTGTTCAGTGGTGCCTTGATCAGATGGCAGAGATAGAGAGAAGTGATTCGTTCTTATGAAGGTTTCTTCTGGGGAGAGACCTGCATGGAGAGGAGTCTGAAAATCATGAGAAGGAGATGAGGTTGCTGGGACTCTTTCATCTGAGAGTAGAGATGCCATGGGGAGTGACGTTAGTTGTTTCCAGGTGGGAAGGGAGTTTTGTGTGCCTTTAGGAGGTCATGTTACATCGCAGCCAGCATTCACCGAGCGCTTACCATGTGCCACGCAAAGCAAAGCAAAGCATGTCCCATGCATCATCCTTCATAGCAGCACAAAGAAATAGACACATTCATAACCCTCCTTTTGATAAGAAACGAAGGCTCAGAGGGTTTTAGCAAATTGCCTAGCGTCACTGTGCTGGACTTTACTATTGCCATGCCTACTTTGTTTTTTTTTTCTCTTTCCTGAGTACACAGAAAAGCACATTTTTGAGCTCCTTGCAGTTGAACAGGGCCATCAGACTGGTTCTGGCCAGTGAAATGCGGGTGGAAGTGATGGGTGCCTCTTCTGGGCTGCAGCTGGGAAAGCCCTTCTGTAATCATGGAGTCTTCTTGTCCTACCCACCCACCCAGGTGGCAGTGGACTGGCCTTTGCTGAGGTGGTGGTTAGCCTTTGTTGAGGGGGGACAGCCACCCTGCCAAGTCACTCTGACCTTGAGTAGTTTGGCATAAAACTAACTTTTATTGTGGTAAGCTACTGAGATTTGGGGGTTGTTTGTTACTATGGCAGATGCCAGCCCACCTTGATGAATACATCGCAAAGCTAGGAAGTGGAGTGGCTGGGATTTGAACCCACACCTTTCTGACCAAAGACGCTTTTATCTATTACTTTAGAAGCAGGATCAGTAAGGGTGGGTGCAGATTCTGTTGATCCAAAGACACACATTTCCCCCTCCACACACATTTTAGCCTTTCCAAAATCAGATTTTGTCTTATAATCAGCAGTGTCTCACAATCATCATTGGCTTCGTGACAGTGACACAGTTGCCTGATAACTTCTGGCAAGATTTAGAAAAGAAGTGCCAGCATCAAAACTTGAAGAGTGAGCATCTACTTGAAACAGAATCTCTGGGACAAGGTGGCATGCTCTTTTAAGAAATGTCACATCACCTACACTCTTGAAGTCCCAGAAGATGATATTGTGTGAAAAATGCAAACATCAATGAGTCTGAGTTGAAAAGAGATTCACAAGAGTTGAACTCTGAATGTGAAGATGTTTTAGGATAACTTAACCAATTTATTTTGCTAATATTTTCTATTTTATCTGTGCATGATAGTGATATAAGATAAAAATCTATGTCTAAATAAGTCTAAATGAGCCCTTTCAATAGATATAAAATAAAAATTCTAAGTGATAATAAAGCATCATGTCTTGGTTTAATTGGCAGTGTTTTTTCTTTCTTAGTGGTACATAAAGATGCACCCTTCAATCGATGGCATCTTATACTTACAGAAATATAGTCCCTGTGGATCCCAGCAGGCAGACTTGCCACCGCAGGAAGCCTGGGGCCCCTGCACAGCCTGCTCATGTTGGGTAACTGGCACCATCCTGGGGGGTCCCATTCTCAGGGGTCCCTTCTGTGGCCCAGGAACCTGGCTTTGACTTTCTTCTCTGCAGATTCTCTTTCTGACAGCTTCTGGTTTATGGCTGCTCAGTGGAGCTGATAGAGTTCGGGATAAATGCAGCCTCCACGGAATGAATGAGGAATTCTCAAAATGTAGTAAAAAGCAAGAGAGAGGGCTCCCCAGGCCCCTTCCAGGGAAATCAAGTGAAATTCCTGGAATGAAGATGAAGACTACTGGTGTCTTTTTCTGTCTGTCTTCCTTAGTGTTGGGGGCCTGGACTGTGGTTGTGGCTCAGACAGCAACACTGTGGGATCAGACCCAGAAAGGGAGCTGCTGTAAAGGGGGTAGAATCTACTAGTTCCAGTCCTTTCCTGTTCTCATCCCTGCTCCGGGTTGTCCCCGTCTCTGACTGTTTCAGTTAGGGCAGGTCATGTCATGCGGCAGTAACAAACATCCCCACATCTCAGTCTCAGTGGCTTGTGACCACAAAGGTTTCACTCTGCTCCTCACAAGCCCCCCTTCAGGCAGGGACCTGGTGGACAGAGCACCCACCATCTGGGACACCCAAAATTGTCCACTCAATAGCAACATCTATCACTTCTGCTCATACATCATGGCTAACCCAAGTCCTGCGGCCACAGCTCATGTAGAAGGAAATGCAATCCTACCACATAACCAGAAGGTTGCGAGACAGATATATTTCTGAAAAACCCTATTGACAGTCACACTGACCACAGCCCCATTTCTCGCCAGGACCTTGTCTGTAACCACTCTCATTGCTGGCCATGCTTTGTCCCTCACAGTCTCCATGTCCCTGATCATGTGCCCATGAGAGAAGCTCTACTTCTGAGACCATGAGTCCTGGCATTTGCTTCTGGAAATGTAGGCTGTATCTGTTGTTCTCCTCTGACACCTACCATATCATATGCTTATTTCCATGGCTGATTTCCCTGCTGGGCTGTGAGCTTTCATTCTACAGGATGGTGGCCATTCATTCTGTGCCCCCTATGCCCAACACAAAACCTACCTCAGAGGAGGTTAGCATTTGGAAGAAGAATGGGTAATTACATGAAAACTATAATAAGACTGTGTAAAAATGAAGTTCTCATGTAGAAGAGTCCATACAACCTAAGCTGAATCCCATTCTCTGACTCTAGATTGACACTGTCTAAATGCCCAGGGATCTCAGAGAATATGTGTGTGTGTGTGTGTGTGTGTGTGTGTGCCACGTGTGGAGACTCCAGTACTTTGGACACATCCTCAGGAGCTGAGCTGTGGCCTGGCTGAAAAAAAGGCAGGTTTGGGTAGGTGGACTCCCTGTGTCATTTCATTCCTGAGAGAGGGTGTCACCAGATCAACACAGTCTAGACCAATAGTTCTCAACCTCCCTGCCCCACCCCCATGGCAAACAGCATCCACGTAAGCACCTCATTTTGGAACACATCTGGCCTGTGATCAGAAGCACAGATAAAGCAGACTGTGGGTGACATGCAATCCTCCATAACTGGCTGTGTATACACTGATTTCTTCCTCTGCAAGAAAGCTGATGTGAAAGCAAGAGAGAGAGAGAG